TTCCTTCTCCACTCCCACTGCTTCACTTGACTAGATTTAAAAACAAACAAAACAAAAACAAAAAATCAAACACCTCACCTCAAAAAACCTTTGGCTCATCTGGAGACTACCATTCAAAGTTATTTAACAACCAGTTTATCAAAATGATTATGATAACAGAAAAACTTATAATAGTTTAAAATTAATAGTAAAAAAATTAATAGTAACTTTAATATAGTTAAGCTTAGTAATAGCAACTTTAATATAGTTAAGCTAAAAACGTGTGTGAAAATATGTAGGTCAGGCTTCACAATCAATTCATTTCTTAATTTTTATTTCTACTAAAATTAGAAAATCTGAATCTACAATGAGTTTGTCAGATATGGCAAGGAGTTTGGATGGCTACCAGATAATTCTGAATAGATGGAGCTGACAAGGGTCTATTACCACGGAAAGTTTCTAATTGAAGACAGCTTTCAGTAGTTTGTCAGATTCTAAGCAGAAGAGCATGGAGTAACCTCAAAAGTTGAATGTTTCAACTTGGGAGAAAGCAGGAGTTGTATTCAGTTTCATTGGTTGCATTCAGCTCTGGCCTCATTCTGTTGCAACATTTGGATGTGGTTTAGAGTATGTTCAGTAATGTGTCACTTATTGTTTTTCTCTGAAGAAAGAAATTATCATGTGTTGGGAAATAATAAACTCTTTGGCAGTCAAGGCATTTGCATCACAGTCTCGTTTTCTTTTCTTTTTTTTTATTTTCTGCGTCTGTGGAACACAGTCTGGTTTTCTTACAAAATCCTGATACTTTGTTCTTAACATTAAAAATCATAGCTTTGCAATCTGCCATCTGCCATGGAACTGCCACCAAGATGTATTTATTAATAGAATTTTGCAAAAACCCTTATGGGGAAGACCACCACTCTTGAGGTTGAACGCTCCAATACAACAGAAGATGTGAAGGCATTCCAGGATAAGGAAGAATTTTTTCCTCATCAGCAAAGACTGATCTTTGCTGGCAAGCAATTGGAAGATGGATGTACTTTATCTTACTACAACATTCAAAGAGTCCACTCTTCATTTTATGTTGAGATTTCATGGTGGTACTAAGAAAGGAAAGAAGTCTTACACCACTCTCAAAAATAATAAACATAAGAGAAAGAAGGTTATGCTGGTTGTCCTGAAATACTATAAGGTGGATGAGAATGGCACAATTAGTTGTCTTTGTCGAGAGTGCCCTTCAGATGAATGTGATGGTGTTTTTCTAGCCAGCCACATTGCCGGACATTATTGTGCCAATATTGTGGCCTGATCTATTGCTTTAACAAATCAGAAGATAAGTAATTGTGTGTGGGTTAATAAAAGATATGAACTAAAAACAAAATAAAAACAATCCCAAACCATGGCATTTAGAACTTCAAGTAATAAGTTCAAGTTAATGAAAATACTGCTCAGATAAGCCATTTAAGCAAGCCCACTTGAAATAATAAAAATGGTTTCTGTTAGTAATATCCATAGCATAAAAAAGGGATTTTTACTTCAGCCTTTATTAAAAACCTGTGACAGCATCTTTCCTATTACGGCCTCTATACTTCTGTGCAAAAAGCACTTATTTACCTGTTTCTTTTCAAATCTTTTTCAATCTTTTCAATCTTTTCAAAGATTATGCTCACTGGCTGGAATTTTACTATATTTATGGTTTGTACTAATTTGTTCCATGTTGAATCAAAATCAGGAGAAATTTTTGTTATTTTCATTTTTAGAGATGTGATCTCACTATGTTGCATAGGCTGGCCTCCAGCTCCTGGGCTCAAGTGATCCTCCCACCTCACAGTCCAGAGTGGCTGGAGTAAACTTGCACCATTGTGCCCAGCTAGGATAAATATTTTTTGACCACTTACTGTTCTCTGAATAAAATAGAAAGTGGACTGACATCTTGTTTATTGTAGGAACGATGTCCTTCTGCATCCAAAGCTACAACTCCATCAGTTTTGATCCCAATATATCTTTTTCAGACTGCCTCATACCTCACAAAATAATTATTATCTAAATGAAAAATGTCTTCTTCTGTAATTTGAATTTTTAATGAGAGTCCAAACAGGAAGTTTCTGCTCATGTTTCTTTATGTACTGCATATATGCTGTAAGCTGATGCATATTGTGTACATCAGCAATGTCCACTCTTAAGGCAAAAAACTATTAGCAGGTACAGGTCTAATATTGCCATTTCATGTTGTACACCATGATTCTGAGTGATACTTGATAAAGAATTTTGCCAATAGCTTGCTATATTTTCTCTAAGCAAAATATGTTATTAACTTTGTAGCTAGTTGTACAAGCATCTCTGTAACAAAATTACTTCTATCATTTTTTTTTTCTATGTGGGATGTAATTTGATCTCTTTTATCCACAAAATTCATCCATCTCATTCTGGAAAACATTATTTGGCATTTATTCTGGACAAATACATTTTATTTGGCAGGTAAGTTATTTTGTTAAAATATGTCTTGAAAACTTCGATGGCTTTCCAAGTCACTGTTTGACAAAATTTCCTAATAGTGAAAGTGCTGGCCCAATAAAATCCAATTTTTAGATATTCATAGTTATACTTGTTATGTACATTTTAATTTTTTGGCTGTTTATGTGAACTTACCAGATTTAAAGACACATAATTCATATTCTATATCTGCATCAGAGTCTTGTTTAATAGTTGGCTACCTTTATTATATAATTATGAAGTACTAGTTACTTCTTTGTTACTTTTTTCATCACTCTTCTTTTTTTTTTTTTTTGAGACAGGGTCTATTTTGCCCAGGGGGGTCTTGAGCTCCTGGGCTGAAGCGATGTTTCCAATCTTTCTGCCTCAGCCTTCTGAGAAGCTGGGATTACAGGAGCACACCACCATGTCAAGCCACTACTTATTATGTTTTATTATTTTTTTAAATTAATATTTCTAAAAGAAAAAAAAGAGTTTCACTCTGTTGCCCAGGCTAGAGTGCCGTGGCGTCAGCCTAGCTCACAGCAACCTCAAACTCCTGGGTTCAAGCAATCCTACTGCCTCAGCCTCCCGAGTA